TTTTTTTTTTTTTTTATATACACACAATCATGCATACTATCTTAGATGTATTTTAAAGAAAAATACAATTAATTTAGTTTTCATGAATTTAGTTTCACAGAAATGAATGAAATGCTGAGATATAGACCTACTGTGTATATTAAGTTTTCTTACACACCTTAAAATCAACACGCACTTCCTATTTTCCTTTTTCTTACTAGTCTTCAGCCCTAACCGACACTGACAATCAAAAATTGCATAGCTCCCTGTGGAGCTACAAAAGTATTTGTGCAACTTTTTCCCACATGTGCAGTAGAGTAAAAGCAGTGGACTTTGCCCTTCAACTCTCTGTATGTTGACAGGTGCCCTTCTCATTGACCATGCATGTTGGAAAGAAGCCTCTCCATCTGACACCTATGCAGCTCTCAGGTAAAAAATAAAAACGTTCTAAAAAGGTTTTTTAGAAAGATACAACGCAAATTTTGCATTCATGTATTTCCTTTATATTCCTTCATCAGGTGGTGTGAACACGACTTGTGTCCTGTGGCGACTAAACAGGCGAGAGGCTGCTATGATCCCAGCACTCTGCCGCTGGATGCTGCGCTGGTGTACGACCGGCCGATCTAAGACTGAATGTTCACTGGAAACGGATGAAACTGTGACTTGATAATCAGGTCATTGCTGTGCCTCATTTAAATTCTGTACCACATCTCCTTACTGTAGCACACTTTCAAAAAAAATTGTAGATTACTGAGACCGTGTTTAAATCTGTGTTGCATTTATGTGATTTGGTATTTTTAAGATTTGATTCTATATGTGTGTGTAGATATAGATATAGATATGTATTTTTGGATGCAATAAATATGGAACTGTAGATTCTCAGTTTCCGTGGTAAACAGACGATTTATTTTTTTAGGCCTGGGTGCTAAAAAAAAGATTGAAGTAGGTGAATAAAACATGACCCCAGCCTTTTCTCATTCACAGTCAAGTTAAAAGCAAGAGTGGGCCAATATCAACAGACCACAAACTAACTAGAGCACAGGTCATGAGCAAGAAGTTTTATTTACATGGTGCCTTCTAGTACTGTTGGAAAAACAGCCAATGTGTGAGCTCCTTTGCACTAGTTTTACAACACCTAATTGTTTTTAATTGTACTGAGACAAATTATGTTGTATGTTTATTGTATCTATTGTGTTTTATTGCGCCAAACTGTATATTTGAAATTAAATAATGGCAAACGCATGCTAACAAGGCTATCAAGTGATGTACAGCATTTCTTTTGGAAAGAAATTAATAAAGAATGTATAAGAAATACAATGATTCATATTTTCTCCACTTCTATGTTGATTTCTTTTTGTCCCATGGGGGAAAAAAAACAATTAGTGAATTATTTGTATTAGTTTTATAGTTTTGGGGGACTTTTTACGTTTGATATTCTGAGTTTTCGAGGAGTTCCTGAAGGCGGCACTGAAAAACAGTAGGTGGGGTTTCAAGCGAAGGTGTACTGTACACGATGTACACGGACATTAAATCAGGGCTGTCAGTGAAAGAGCTGTAAAGAAACAAACCACAGATGTTTAAGTGAAGCTACAACTTCAACAACATCCACTTTTATTATGAGTTCCCCCCCCCTCATCTTTTCCCGGTTTTAATTCAAGCTGAAAGGTCCGGATCCGCACCACAGACCCGTCAATGCACCACCAGAATGGACGCAGCTCCTGGATAAAGTGAATCATGTCTTTTGCTGTTTGCCTGTCACTGTTGGTGCTGTTGTCGTGTCACCAGCGGGTCACCTGGGGCTCACATGTCGGATTAACCGGCTGGTCTGCAAACACCACACGAGCCATGATGTTTCAAAGCAGCAACGATGAGGTTGGTGAGATTGAATCCAGCAAATATTGACTGTCAGTTAAATTGTGCAATGTGTGTGTGTGTGTGTGTGTGTGTGTGCTGTTTCCTGGTTAATATTTGTGTGCAGTAGAATTTGTAGCTGGCAGGTTTTTCCAGCTGTCACATGATTAGTAGGATAACACATGCATGAATCAAGTTTGACTGCTGTGTTTATAATGTGTAATATGCGCATGTTCATAAGTGCAGACCAAACCTGTACATGTCAGGGTCCTCCACATACAGCTGACAGATAGGAGTCTGTAGATACTGTGTTTAAACCTCTGTTATATCTTGTGTGTGACTGACTGTTGTTGAGGAAAGGGGATCTCTTTAAACCCTTATCCTCGCGTGTTCTTTAATGAAGCGATAGGAGAAGATTTAGTTTACTCAAAAATCAGCTTTATTCTTAACACCAGTAGAATGTGCAAA